CGCCTTCAAGAGCAAGGGAAAATGAAGAAAACTAAAGACACAAGGGCAAGATTAGTCCAAAGGACCAAAAGACCACAACCACCACGGCCTCCACCAGACTGAGTCCTGTACCACTGGATGGTGCCCAGCTACCACCACTGACTGCTCTGACAGGGATCACAACAGAGGGTCCTAGACAGAGTAGGAGAAAAATGTAGAACAAAATTCTAGCTCAAAAAAAGACCAGACTTACTGGCCTGACAGAGACTGGAGAAACCCCGGGAGTATGGCCCCCAGACACCCTTTTAGCTCAGTAATGAAGTCACTCCTGAGGTTCACCTTTTAGCCATAGATTAGACAGGCCCATAGGACAAAACAAGACTAAAGGGCACACCAGCCCAGGGGCAAGGGTGAGAAGGCAGGAGGGGACAGGAAAGCTGGTAATAAGGAACCCAAGGTAGAGAAGGGAGAGTGTTGACATGTCGTGGGGTTGTTAAGCAATGTCATAAAACAATATGTGTACTAACTGTTTAATGAGAAGCTAGTTTATTCTGTAAACCTTCATCTAAAGTACAATTAAAAATAAAAATTAAAAAAAAAATCTATAATCTTAGCTGACCCTCAACGGTTAACTCCCTTAAAACTGAATTCCTTCTATTCTGCTACATTATTTCTCATCCCAACTGGGTCTATAGTACCTTAATACTTTAATTTTTTAGGGGTCAGTCACATGAAATCTAGTAGTAATAGCTACCTGTTTAAGGTTGGCTTGATTGAAACTTTCCTTAATTGAAATATTATTAAAAACTGAATTTACAGGGATTTAAGTGAAATATCATACTTAGAGAATTTAGCTTAGTGCCTCACACGTGGTAAACATGCAATAAAATTTCATTCTCATGATTGTAAGCATTCCCTCAAGAAGTGACACATAAACCCAGGTGAAGGGGAGAGAAACGCCCTCCAGTCAAAGGGAATAAAAAGAAAAACCTAACCCACTGCCATTAAGTTGATTCTGACTTATGACGACCTTATAGGACAGAATAGAACTGCCCCACAGGATTTCCAAGGAGCAGATGGTGGATTCAAACTGCTGACCTTTCAGTTAGGAGCCGAGCTCTTAACCACTGTGCCACCAGAGCTCTGTCAGAGGGAGTAACCAAAAGAAAAAAAAAATGTTGCTGTCAAGTCGATTGCGACTCATAGCAATCCTGTAGGACAGAGTAGAACTGCCCCATAGGGTTTCCAAGGAGCACCTAGTGGTTTCGATCTGCGACCTTTTGATTAGCAGCTGTAGCTCTTAAGCACTACACCACCAGGGTTTCCTCAGAGGGAATAGGACATACTAAAGTCCTGTGGGGTCAAAGATCTTGTGGCCAGTGAGAGGAAGTCAGTGCTAGAGAGTCAGGAAAGTCAGGTGAGGCCACACTTCTTCGCCATGGTGAGAGAGTTGGGCTTCATGGTAAGAATAACTGGGAGTCTTAAACGTATTTAAGCCAAGGACCAGTCAGATGTGCATTGTTTAAAAAAGGATGTCCATGCTGAGCATGAATATAGGGAAGCCCATTATAAGGTTGTGGCCGTAGTTTAGGTAAGAGGGGAAGTCGCTTGGACTAGGAGAGTGGCAGTTTGAGAGAGAGGAAGGAAGATGGATTCAAGACATATTTTGAAACCGAAGTTGAGAGGACCCAGCGATGCTGCCTTTCTGGTGTATGAATGAGTGAGTGAGTGAGTGAGTGAGTGAGCAAGCAAGCGAGCATGAGAGCCAGTGGGGAGTTCACTGGGAGCAGGAGCAAGCCACAGAGTGGGCTGAGCAGACTAGCAGAGGGCTGACGAGCCTGGCCTGTGGCGCTAACCTGCCTGGAGTGCAGCCTTGGGCCCGTGATTGAACCTTGCTATGTCAGTCTCCTCTCTAAGGCAGATTCAATAATAATACCCACCTCGTAGGCTTCGAGGATTCAAGCAGTCACTGTTTGTAAAGTGCTTTCAGTGTTTGTTGAATGGAGTGCCAGAGTCTGGTAGGGAAAGGTTGAACACTCCCTGTACTTCCTTCCCTCCAACTAGCATCCGATTGACCTCCTCTGGGAAAAGCCCAGACTGCCTCCCCTGGGAGCCGCTGCTGCCTGGTTTCCAATCCAAGTCCACCTGGCCTCCTCCCTGCCCCTGCCTGGTCTGACTTGGACACCCCTACATGGATTTGACATATGGCTAACCAGGCCTGGCTGGGCTTTCCTTGCCCAGAACACCTGCTTTGCACCCCACTTAAAGGATCAGGCCCCATTCTCCGCTTTCTGAGAGCACCCCGCGCCTTTCTGCTGTGGTGAACCCCAGCACTTCCCCTTTAAAAGACAGGCAGAATCCTCCAGTAAACACCACCCTCAAAGGAGGTACAGTGCTGTGACTTACCTCCCGACTTTGATGACCTAACCACTACTGCTTGCTCTCATCCAAATGGCCCTTGGTGTTTGAAGATAACTTAGAGATAGACTTTCTTGGGGCTGTTGTCGGCTCCTGTTTGACTTCTGTACTTAGGGCAAGTTTGAACTTCAAGAAGAAAAAGGCAATAATAGGCATCCATCCTTCTCTCTAGTAAGGATAGTTTTTAATTTTCTGATACCTTACAAAAGGTCCACTTTAACTCTTGTTTCTTCCCAGTTTTTTCCCTTCTCTAGTGGATTTATTTTCTGTAAGTCACATTGTACATGTTTGTTTATTTTCTTTCTTTCTTTTTAAAATTATGAACGTCTTCTGAGTCGTAATGCTTCAAAGCTACTTTGTTAATTTGATATAAACTTCTGATTTGAAAACTCTAGACGGGATCTCATGTAGGGACAGCAAATAGGCTCCAACCCATAGTACTTAGTAATGTTACCGGAAGTTGTGTTTTGAGGATATGGAGGCAGGTTTTAGCTCACAGGCAGAAAGTTCTGTGATCTTTGTGAAAGGATGGGCATCAGGGTCAGGGTGGAGCTTCCCCTTGGGGCAAGGAGTGCTATAGCAGTTGGAGGAGGAGAGCAGACACAGGGGCTTCATCTGTATTTGTAATGCTTTCTTGATTAAGTTGGAGGGTGTGTGGAGCTTGTCGTATTAATCTTTATATGTTTTTGAAAGTGTGAAATATTTTATGATGAAATTGAAATAAGAGTGCCATGATATAGATTAGTGGTATCTGCCACAGACATTATTGGTATGTGTGCCACGTGTTTGTTGTCCCTGGTCTGAATGGAGCCTGCCCTTGACTGAGCCAAGAATCCAGCTTCTACCCTGGATTAGACTGTAATCGCTAGGTATTTGCGTATGAACTTAAACATGCAGACATTTATATGCATATATACAAATTTATTTTATCTTGTAATATATTATATAAAATGTACTATAGGATATTTTAAACATGTAAAATGGATATTTCCTTGTGAAGATATTAAAAAAACACTGAGTTATACACTTTGAAGTGTGAATTTTATGCTATTCGAATTATATCTCAATAAAGCTATTATTAAAAAATCAAATATTTCCAAATAAGACATTTTTTCAAAAAGTAAATTTTTTTCTCCTGATTCTAAAAATAGTGCACACACATATAAGAAACTGGAAAACATACTAAGGTAGAAAGAAGACGAAATAGATATACTCATAATAGCACCACCCTAGAGACTGTTAAAGGAGCCCCGGTGGCGCAGTGGTTAAAGTGCTCGGCTGCTAACCAAAATTTGGTGGTTCGAACCCACCAGCAGCTCTGCAGGAGAAAGATGTGGTAGTCTGCTTCCGTAAAGATTACAGCCTCGGAAACCTATGGGGCAGTTCTACTCTGTCCTATAGGGTTGCCATGCGTCAAAATCAACTCGACAGCAGTGGGTTTGGTGTGGTTTGGTTTATAGACTGTTAACATTTTTGTGATACTTTCTTCCGTTATTTTTCCACTCCCATGTATGGATTATTTTTATATTGATGAGATCATATCTGTGTTTACATCCTCCTTAATTTAACATTATAAGCATTTAAAATATTGTCATAAATTCTTTATAAACGTTTTAATGGCCACATAACGAGTGACTGTGAAGCTTACAGCTGCACTGCTGTATGGAAGTCTCCATTATAAGGGGTGTGTTCCTCCAGTAGCACGCACAGAGTACTTGTTGTCACAGAACCCAAATCAGCATTAGGTTTTCATGTAAAAATCTTTAATTCCATAAGTGAAAAATGACATATTGGTGTTTTAATTTACCCTTTTTGATTATGGAGATGAACATTTATCCATGTATTTCTTAGGCATTTGTATTTCGTTTGTTATGAATTATGTGTTCATACTAATTTTTATGCTGTTAGTGTTTGTCATACAATGTTTTATCCATTAATTTGATTACATATGATCTGTATTGTTTGTTGTTAGTAATCTTCCCAGTTTGTGCTTTTATTGTCTTCTGAAAACTTAGTTTTCTTTTTACTTAAAACATTTGCTTCCTCGATTTTCAGTTCACAGTTGTTCCCTATACAGACACTTGAAATATACTCATATTTTTCCTTGTTTATTATTTCATTTCTACATTGATCTCTTTACATTAAACTTGAGTATATTTTGATAAATAATACAAGGTGAGGATCTAAACTTTTCCAAATAGTCCTCAGCAAAATTTATTGCATAGTCTTTCTTTTCTTTAGTGATTTGTGAGGCCTTCTTTGTCCTATATTAAATTCTCATGTATCTACTCTGATAAAAATATTTTTCTGAATTCTAAAACAACAAAGAGCCCATTCTTAATATGATTAAAGTGCTGTTCATGCGTTACGTATTTTTGTTTCACTGTTAACATTTGTTTAAATTGACTTAATTATTTTTAATGAAATGTAGACTTTTTTCTTTATACCCTGAATCAAAGTGAATCAGGACTTGGATGGATGGAGATTACTGTCATTAATGAGCCCACCCCATTTATAGATGACCCAGATACTATGCATTATACATAGTAAGCACTTGCATTCACTTTTAAGAGGTTAAATTTTTCTCTTTTTATATTTTTTAGAGTTTGTTATCTCATATACTTTCGGCATTTAGATTTGATGTAAAAGAAGTTGGCCTTTTTTGTCAAGGTCTCGGGTATGCACCTGCAGATTACTACCCTGGTTTGCTTAAAAATGTGAGTATTTGAATGTCTTAGTACTGAAATTTTCATTACCAAATGTACCATCAGCAAAAAGAGAAAATGGAAAAGTTCACTCCTCTAGGAAAGATGTTTAACTTTTCTGTGTTTATTTCTTCTTACCTTGGGTGAATTTATGGCCGTATAAGGAAGTAATGTGAGATGGACGATTATGAGAAGAAAAGAAAGAAACCAGGAGAGGTTATACTAAATCAATCACACACACACACACACACATGCACACACACACGCACACACCCACCCACACCCCACTTGTAACACATCTCATTTATTCACTCAAAGATTTTTGGGAGAAGATGTTTTCTTAACCACTGTAAGCTCAGCCTTGTACTGTTGGACAAATATTGTATCTAAAGTAACCTGATTGGAATTTTATGTTAAAGCAAAGCAAAAAATTCAATAAATAACAAACTTGTAAGCTGTATTCTCTTCTGCCTTAAATTGTAGCCAAATTCAAGAAATTTTAATTTATGATCTGAACATAACTGTCCTAAAGCATGTTATGAGTTTTTTAATGTTTATTGACCATTCTGGCCTCTTGAAAGCTTTATAGATGACTAACACTTTTACAAATAAAGAACTAAATTAAGAAAGAAGAAATAAACTGACTCTAAAGTGTGTGTGTGCGTGTGCGTGTGTGTGTGTGTGTGTTTTAATGGTGTGATTTTAATGCTTAGGAAATTAATTATCTCTAATTCATTTGCCTAAGTGAGAATGCAGAATGGTAGACTTTAAACACAAAATCCCAGTTATTAGTAAGTGTGACTTGGCACTGCTTTCATTTCACTCTGACAAAATAAAATATACAGAGAGGACTGGAGGAGGGAATCTCAACAGAAATATCGCGCACACCAAGAAAAATAGGACTGATGTAATCCTGTTTGCAGTGTGAGTTGACCTGCCACTGATTTTGTTTTACAGATGGTTTCATCATTAGTGTCTGAACTCAGAGAGAATCATCTTAATGGATTTAACACTCAAAGGCGGTAGGTGTTAATCTAAACATCCCTCTTCTCAAGTTTCAAAACGTATCAGTTAGCTTTTGAGAGAAAAATTTAACAATTCTTAGGAAGTGCATATTTGTAGTTATGATTATAGTCTATGTGAAGAGATTATTTTAGTGGAATAGATGGCAAATTGGTGAATTTTTATCAAACTTTTCTTTTTTCAATCACTGTTCTCTTAACTCTCAAATGGCAGTAAACATGAAACATCTGTTGTGTGCCCACTGAGTAAAAAGGCCCACACGGACAGTAGGATGCACAAAAGAAAGGGAAGTGCTCAACCTCGCCCGGGGCCACGCACCCTGTAGGAAGAGAATGTGCACAAATGCACGTGTGTGCTCCACGCCTGCTTGCTCCTGCTCCGCCCACCCCCAGTGTGTGTTGTGTGTGTGTGATGCACACAATCAGAATATTTACAAAGTAGCAGATATTTGATGTGCACATATAACCTGTTTTAAGAAACTTAATAATCCAAAATCCAGACTAAACAAATCAAATAGATTCAGACAGATTAAAAAGCAGTTAATCACATTACTAAATGTTTCTTCACCCTGTGAAAGAATTCACAGTGGTTTTCATTGGTGAGCATTTCGTTTTTAACAAATCATGAGCTCAGAGAAGCTGGAGACCAAGGGAGTTTGTGATTTTTTGTAAAACTATCGCCAGTTCAACCTCTATCAGAAATAGTCTTCACCCTCAGCCTTTAGGAATTCTCTGCATCTAACTCTTAAAGCAGAGCCCTGGTGGCACAGTGGTTAAGAGCTCGGCTGCTAACCAAAAAAGTTGGCAGCTCAAATCCACCAGCCGCTCCTTGGAAATGCTATAGGGCAGTTCTACTCTGTCTTGTAGGGTTGCTATGAGTTGGAATCAATGTGACGGCAATGGGTTTGGTTTTCGTTTGGAACCCTTAAAGTGAAGTCTACTTGTAGGATAAGTGGAGACGCTGAGTGCCAAGCAGACAGACTAGGGAGGACTCGGGGGACTCATCTGTGCTCAGGGGAGAGCGAGGCCTATGCCCAAGGCAAGAAGGGAGAGAGATGTGGTGCACGAACGTGCTGGGGTATGGATAGGTATTCCAGATGCACAGAGTACTCAGGAGTGAGAGAAACGAGATTGGCAATACCAGGGTCACAGGCTACCCGCTACCTTGTCTTTGCACAAGTTGTTGTCACCCTTGACATGGCTGCCTTCCTTAGTCCCTGCAGCGAGCACTCATTGAGTTTCTGCTGTGTACAAGACACTGTTTATCTGACATGTATACAAAGCCACGTAATATGTGTTCCTCAACCTTCAGGTGCTTATAGACCACAAAAAGAGATCACAGTAAGTGGAAAAGACAAGGCTGTGACAGGAGGAGTACGAATGCCATGGGATTCAATGAGAGAACACTCTCCAAGTATTCTGCTGAGTGCCTAACACACTTTGCTAGTGTACATTATTCCATAGCAAAAAATACACTTTTGTTGCTTGATTCTACAGAAAAAGTTTCTAATAAGTAGTTGTTATTATTATTACTTATTATATACTTTTAACAACAATAAAAACAAAAAAAACACCCACTGCCTTGGAGTTAATTCTAACTCATAGTGACCCTATAGGACAGAGTAGTACTGCCCCATAGGGTTTCCAAGACTGTAATCTTTATGGAAGCAGACTGCCACATCTTTCTCCCATGGAGCAGCTGATGGGTTTGAACCGCTGACCTTTCAGTTAACAGCTGAGCACTTAACCACTGCAACCACAAGGGCCCCGTATAACAACAATAATAAGTTATTATTATTACTACTTATTTTATGCTTTTCCTGTAGAGTGAAGCAAAGTATATTTTGTGTCATGGAATAATGTATTGTAGCAAAGTGTACTATAAAGTAATTCTCTGTTCCCACTGACTTGTTTTTTTCTTAAATTACTTTTTTCTTTCTTATAGAAGACATGTTTATTGTAGAAAAATCAGAAAGTAATCAAAAGGAAGAAAGTTAAACTGCTCATATGTCACCCCTCAGAAGACATGACTAACATTTTGATACATAACCCTTTGATATTTTTTTTAATAAAATAGGACTCTACATTCTGCTTGCAACCTACATTTTTCATTTAATGCTGTATCATGGTGATCTTTCCCTGTGAATAAATATGCTTTGACAACATTATTCTTAAGTTTAAAAATCAACTGCTAAAGACCTTAAAAATTTATAAATAATTAACTTTTAAACACTGTATAGATTATACTCTCATTTACTTAACCAATTCCCTACTGAAAACAATGACATTATTTCTGATTTTTCTATATTACATAAACAGCCATGCAGTGGGTATACTTGTTAATCTACCTTAGGAGATTTATGTGAGTATTTCAATAGAATAAATTCCTGGAGGTGAATTTTCTGAGTGAGAAGAATTTTATATTCTAAATGCTTGGGAATATGCTAAGTTGTTGGACGTCTGGGTTGTTCTCCCTTTTTTTGCTGTTATATAGATCACTGCAGTAAGGATTTTTAAAACCTAATTTTTGCACACATATCACATATTTACCTCTTCATTATAAATTTTTATAAATAAAATGACTGAGTCAAAGGATTTTTACATTTTAAACGTTTTTGATGTCTGTTGATAAAGTTCCCGCCTCTACAAGTTTGTTCCGCTCATTTCCTACAGCCTTGCCAACATCGTATATTATTGTATAAAAAACACATCTTTGCAAAAAATTTCCCCAATTTGTCATCGTCTTTTTTATTCTGTTTATTAATACTACATCTGTGGAAAGAGACCATGGAGAAGCTCAATATCATCAGTCAGAACAAGGCCAGAGGCCAACTGTGGAACAGACCATCAATTGCTGCAAGTTCAAGATGAAGCTGAAGAAAATTAAAACAAGTCCAGAAGAGCCAAAGTATGACCTTGAGTATATCCTGCCTGAATTTAGAGGCATCTCAAGAATAGATTTGACACATTGAACACTAATAACCGAAGACCGGGTGAGTTGTAGGATTACATCAAGGACATCATACATGAAGAAAGCAAAAGGTCATTAAAAAGACAGGAAAGAAAAGACCAAAATGGATGTCAGGAGAGACTCTGAAACTTGTTCTTGAACCTAGAGTCGCTAAAGTGAAAGGAAGAAATGATCACGTAAAAGAGCCGAACAGAAGGTTTCAAAGGGCAGCTCGAGATGACAAAGTAAAGTATTGTAATGAAATGGGCAATTACCTGGAGTTAGAAAACCAAAAGGAAAGAACACGCTCAGCATTTCTCAAGCTGAGAGAATTGAAGGAAAAATTCAAGCCTCGAGTTGCACAATATTGAAGGATTCTATGGGCAAAATATTGAACGACACAGGAAGCATCAGAAGAAGATGGAGGGAGTACACAGTTACTGTACCAAAAAGAATTGGTCACATTTAGCCATTTCAGGAGGTAGCATATGATCGAGAACTGATGGTACTGAAGGAAGAAGTCCAAACTGCACTGAAGGCACTGGCGAAAAACAAGGCTTCAGGAATTGACTACCAATAGACATGTTTCAGGAAATGGATACAACACCAGAGGTGCTCACTCATCTATGCCAAGAAATTTGGAAGGTGGCTACCTGACCAACCAACTGGAAGAGATCCATATTTGTGCCCATTCCAAAATAAGGTGATCCAATAAAATGTAGAAATTATCGAACAATATTAATATCACTGCAGGTAAAATTTTGCTGAATATAATTGAAAATGGTTGTAGCAATACATCGGCAGACAACTGCCAGAAATTATCAAGCCAGATTCAGAAGACAACATGGAACGAGGGATATTATTGCTAATGTAAGATGAATCTTGGCTGAAAGCAGAGAATACCAGAAAGATGCTTTCCTGTGTTTTATTGACTATGCAAACACATTCGACTGTGTGGATCATAACAATAACATTGTGAAGAATGGGAATTCCAGAACATTTAATTGTGCTCATGAGGACCCTGTACATAGACCAAAAGACAGTCATTTGAACAGAACAAGGAGGTACTGTGTTTTTAAAGATCAGGAAAGATGTGCATCAGGGTTGTATTATTTCACCATACTTGTTCAATCTAGATGCAAATAATTCAAGAAGCTGGACTTTATAAAGAAGAATGCCATCAGGATTGGAGGAAGACTCATTGACAACCTGCATTATGCAGATGACAACCTGACTTGCTGAAAGCGAAGAGGACTTGAGGCACTTACTGATGAAGATCAAAGACTGCAGCCTTCAGTATGGATTACACTTCAAAATAAAACAAAAATCCTCACAACTGGATCAATAAGCAACATCATGATAAACAGAGAAAAGATTGAAGCTGTCAAGGATTTCATTTTATTTGGATCCACAATCAACACCCATGGAAGTAGCAGTCAGGAAAGCAAATGTATTGCATTGGGTCAATTTGCTGCAAAAGACCTCTTTAAAGTATTAAAATGCAAAGATATCACTTTGAGGACTAAGGTACGCCTGACCCAAGCCATGGTATTTTCAATTGCCTCATATGCCTGCGAAAGCTGGGCAATGAATAAGGAAGACTAAAGAAGAATTGATGCCTTTGAATTATGGTGTTCATGAAGAATATTGAATATACCATGGACCGCCAAAAGAACGAACAAATCTGTCTTGGAAGAAGTACAGCGAGAGTGCTCCTTAGAAGATAGGATGGTGAGACTTTGTTATATGTACTTTGGACATGTTGTCAGGAGGGATCAATCCCTGGAGAAGGACATCATGCTTGGTAGAGGGTGAGCGAAAAAGAGGAAGACCCTCAAAAGATGGATTAACACAGTGGCTGCAACAATGGGCTCAAACATAGCAAGGATCGTGAGGATGGCAAAGGACCGGACAGTGTTTTGTTCTGTTGAACGTATGGTTGCTATGAGTCAGAACAGACTCAATGGCACCCAACAACAACAACATAATGTGTTTTGTTCTATGTAAATTTAAAATGTTTGTATGTAGTTACACTTATCAGTACCTCCCA